CATTGAAAACACCATCTATTTCTTGGTAGGCTAGTATTACCTTTCAGTGGGCAACCAGTGGCTCTTTGTGTATTTCTTCTTCAAAAATTTGATGACAGCAACAGTGAAAGAATAAATAGCCTGGGGAGGACATATATCCTGAGACCTCCCAAACCGTTCACAACCAGCAAAACAGACCTGGTTGAGGGAGGCTGAAGAACAAATTGTTGTTTCTTTCCTTCTAGACAGTTCTGTGAAAGTAGATAGGACATTTCTGCAGCAGCAGAGTGGAGAAAACCAGACAGTAAATGTTTTCACATTTTGTGGTGGTTTCCTACACTCTGGAACTCTGAGGGAGGACTTTCCTTTGGCTTAAAGCATCATTACCATCCCTATAAGGTCCAAAATAGTTTTTGTGTACATTTTCTGAAATTTACTCCTGTAACAAGTGTGGGGTTGATATATACTCTTATTTCTACCTATTCTTTCACCAAGTTGGAATGCTTTTCTTTTTTTTTTTTTTTTTTTTTTTTTTTTTTTTTTTTTTTTTTTTTTTTTCTGGTACCGGGAACCGAACTCACGACCTTGCGCTTGCCAGGCAGGCAGGCGCTTTGCCGCTGAGCTAAATCCCCAGCCCCTGGAATGCTTTTCTTGAAATAAAAAATAGTGTCAGCTGGGCACGATGGCACACACTTGCAATCCCAGCACTCGGGAGGCTAAGGCAGGAGGATCCTTGCAAGTTCAAGACCAACCTGGGCTATGAAGTGAGCTCAAGGCCAGCCTAAACTGCATAGTGAGACCCTGTCTCAAAAAGACAAAAAATAATAATAATAAGTAGTAGCTTATCTTCTGTCCTTGGAACAAAAGCAAATGACTGGGTCCCTACTGCCTCACTAAATCAGAATCTGCATTTTAACCAGCACCTCACTGATTGAATCTATGGCTGCTGTGGCCTCCATCATCTCCATGACCTTTACCATGTTCACTTTGGCCTTTGCTATTACTCAAACAGCCTCAGATTCACTCACTTTAAAAGGTCTAGTCATTCTAAACAGCAAACTTCAAGCCATGGGCGTGATGCATTTACACAGAAAAACCCATAACTGTTTTGAAAATCTGCTGGGTTCCTGCACCACCCACCCACTACTACCTCTCCCAGCTGCAGGTGTGGGGACGGTCCTCTCAGCTGCTGCTGATCCCAGTGCAAGAATGAACAAAGTTGTGATCCTAACACTCTTTCCCGGGAACCCCTTTCTATTCATTCATTCATTCATTCATTCAGTATTCATTCATTTATAAACATGCTCTTGCTCTGTACCCACGCTGGCCTCAAATTCAGGGCAATCCTCCTGCCTCAGCCTCTCAAGTGCTGATATTACAGGTGTGCAGATCTTCCTCTGGGTGCCATGACACAACCTTGTGACTGCCAGGATTTACCCTTTTCCCCCTCTCCTCTGCCATCTGCCGTCTGCCAAGCCAGCAAGCTCTTTCTCAGCGATAACCAAACAGCAGTGTCACTGAAGCACACAAAGATGCTGAGACATAAGGCAAGGATACAGGACAGATTTAGCCTCTAACATGCTAAAGGGCTTTGTTTTCTAACAGTAGGGTTCTCTCCTCAGGCAGATGTGTTCATAGAGCCTTTTTCATCAGCCCCAGCTTCCCACTTCCCATCCGTCCAGCCTCACTTCCCTGCCCCTCCTCTCTCACTCTGCTGCAGCCAAGGCCCTGGGGCAGTTTTTTTCTCTCAATCCTGAAGCTTCTCCATGCCCTAGGCCTTCCAGCAGGTGTTCTATGGCTGCCACTTACACATTCTTTATGTTCCATCTCAAATGCCACCTTTCTCAGAGGCCCCGACACCTTGATAAAGTCCCAAAATGTCTTATGTCACAGGGGTTCACAGCTAGGGCTGGTGTCGCCCCTCAGCAGACATTCCCAGTTGTCACACCAGGAAGCCCTTACTGGCATCTGGTGGGTAGAGCTCAAGGATGACGCCCCACTTCTCACAATGCATGGGGCGTCCCCTAAACAGAGTTTCTGGCCCCAGATACCAAGTGGAGAAAGCAGGCTCCTTCACAATATTCTGTTCTATCCTGTCTCAATCAGTGCCACAATGGTTGGAGTTTGTTTGTTCCTTTGCGTGTTTTCCTTGGTTACTTCAGTACTGAAAATTGAACTCGGGCCTTCACACTCAGTAAACTACATCCTTAGCTACTTTTACATTTTATTTTTGACAGAGTCTCACAAAGTCACTCCAACTTGAAATCCTCCTGGTTCAGCCTCCCAGAGTACTGAGATGACAGAATGAGCCGCTGTGCCCACATCTATCCCCAGCATAGAGAGGCCTGGAGCTACTGGACAGTCAATAAATTCTGACATTCTCTGGTCACACGCTTGGAGTCCACAGCCAGATGAGGATGCGGGGTCCAGGCTAAATGTTGAACCCAAAAAAAATGTCATCAGTTTTCAAAATAAAGAAAAACAAATTTTATTACACAGCCATTAGAAACCCCTCACCTTAATATACTCACAGAATTACCCCACATTTGTAATTATGAGGAATGACTGGGTTTTCCCACTTCTTACAGATGTGCACAATTTCCTCAATTTAAATGAACAACCTGAAATATACTGGTACTCGAATACTCCAGGGAAGACTGCAGGTAATGGACTGCCACGTCTCAAAAGATCAAAATCAACAAAATTCAATAGGATCTACAAGCCTGTTAAATTTATAGAAGAATTCATATTAATTAAATTTGTCCTTTTTCCTTACCCAGGATTTCTCTATTATTAACTATGTTCTTCTGCAGTACATGAATGAAAACACCTAGCATCATCTGCTGCAAAAAGAAACATTAATTCTAAAACAATGTATGTGTATATGAAGAGATTGATGAATGTAACCCCAGTGAAATCACAGACTGAGAAGTGATGGTAGATCTGCTATCAATACAAAATCTGCTGGGGAGGAAACTTGCATTTTGAGGTGTTTTTTACTTTAAAATCTTCTAATAAGTAATATTTTATTGCAATAACCAGTATACAACAGGGTAGATATGAAGTGATTATATCTAATAGGAAAAAAGAGCAAGTTACCATAACGTCATCTTATGTTCCTGCTGAGAAGTAAGATCAGAAATCAGGTCAAATTCTTAATCCTGTACAGTGTATTTTTTCTCCCAGGCCCCCATGCAGTTTGTGTCAGAAGATTTCACTAGGTACTAGTACTCTTGTGTTCAAACAAATTGTGGAAATGCTGTACAGTTGACCAAATTTCCAGGCTCTTTAAGGTACATTAGAAACCTCCAGGAGGATATGGAGAATTAGAGGAGTTATCATAAAAATATAAAGGTTTGCCAGGCCAGGCTGCTGGCACACTCCTAAAATTCCAGCACTCAAGAGGCTAAGGCAGGAAGATTGCTGAGTTTGAGACCAGCCTCGCCAGGGATATAGCTCAGTGGCACAAGCACCTGTCTGGTAAGTGCAAGGTCCTGAGTTCAATTCCCGGTTCCAAAAAAAAAAGAGAGAGAGAGAGACCCGCCTCAACAATATAGCAATACTAGCCGAGCATGGTAGCACATGGCTGTAATCCTGGCACTTAGGAGGCTGAGGTAAGATCACTGCAAATTTGAGACCAGCCTGGGCTACAAAGTGAGCTCACGGCCAGCCTAAACTGCATACGGAGACCCTGGCTCAAAAAGACAAAAAAAAAAAA